TGATGTCAGAGTGCCCCTCATTGTCACCTTCCTCTGAGGGTGGGTGGCTCTAAGATCCCCCCAGCATAGCTCTGTCCCTAGAGCCCCTGTGACTGCCCTCCCTCCTTCCCCCTCCCCTAGCCCTGCCACTGCATTCCAGCTGCCAGCTGAGCACAGTGCACTTCCCTGTGTGGCGGGAGGGCTACGCGGAGCCTGCAGTGTGCTGGGCCCTAGCTGAGTGCCATGGCAGCTGGGCCATGTGGCGCTTGGCCGTGGCTGAACACTGCAGATGCCCCACCACCAGGCTGTGAAATGGACATTTGGAACTGGATCCAGGGCCATGGAGAGGCTGCCCCAGTAGGGACAGTCTCACTGCGGCTCCAGCCCCAGCACACCCGGGAGCCCACCGGGCCACTCACTGCTGCTGCATGGGGAACCCCAGCAGGCGGGGCTCATTAGCAACTCGGGCATGGCCTGGCAGCGTGCCACAGCCCAGCAGATAAGGGTTCAGGGCCCACTGCTAGTCTGCAAACTGGTAGTTGGGAACCACTGCCCTAAAGTGCTGCAGAACTATTAGTAGTTTTTAAAGTTTTTTTTCATATACTTTTGTAAATTCACCCCTGACTTTTTTCTGATTACGGTGAGATTTCTTTAAAAATCAAAACTGAAAAATCCAGTAAAAATATATTCAAAACCAAAGAGATACTTGGAGGCAAAAGGCAATGTTTCACAAAGCTTGCTAGATTGGTGCTATTTCCTTTACCCAAGGACAAAAGGTCACAAATCTTCAAGCTAAGCTTAGTTTAAGAGTCATGCTGGAGTACTTGATGGCATTTTGCAAAGTTGTATCTGCACAGAATGCTCTACCACCTGAGGTCTTAGAAACCAATAATGACATAGCCTTGATCATTCACACCATTGTTACTTCCTAACTGGTTTACTGCAAGATAGTCTACCTGAACTGGAAAACATGAGGTTTGATAAAATTGTAAGAGGTGTGGAATGTAGTAGCACATCTCAGAAATACAGATTGTAGCTAGCACATAATCCTGTACTTCACTAGTTCCTTATAGAATAGGCAAAATATAAGGTCTTGGTCCATTTTTAAGGCTCTAAATGATGGGGGTTAGATAACACATGAATTGTGTCATCCTGTAAAGTTTCCTTCACTTTTGATTCTTCTCAGGAGTGCTAACATTGTCTACTTTGACTGAAGCATATGTGTGAAGAAAGAAGGATTTTCTATTGTGGGGGTAGGCAATAAAATGGTGGCAGTTCACCAGGCTTAGCCCCTGGTGAGCTGCCAATGACATTTATCTGCACCTCTCCATGTACCAACTATTGCAGCTCCCATTGGCCATGGATCGCTGTTCCGAGCCAATGGGAGCTGCGGGAAGTGGCACAGACTGGAAACAGTGATCTGCAGTTAACAGGAGCTGCAATCTACCATACCTTTAGAGATGCAGTGGCTTCCCATCAGAAGCTAATCCTGGTGGACCTAATCCAGTCTGTGGGCCAGTATTTGCCCATTCTATTCTAGTGCCTGGTTCATAATTTTAGAATTCACTCTCGAAGGAACTCAGAGTGATTGCAAACCTTACCACTGTCAAGTACAAATTAAACAGAACAAACAACCAAACACACTACCAACAAGTTTTCAACTATGCTTTTCTGTGTAGCAGTTCCTAACACACCTTTTTAATTTATTTTAAAACAACAACTAAAAACACTCATAAGACTCCTTTTTCATATGAGTGGGCCCACTGAAATCAGTAAGACTTCCTTGCATGAATAGAGAAAGCAGAATCAGTTTGTAGGTCACATAAACTATCCTCTTGTGAATCCAGGATAATTCCCCGTGGCACATTTTCCAATATTTTGTAATACCCTCCATGTATATATTAAAGGTCTCTAGGGATTGGGATCCTTCTTGAAATACCATTCCATAACTTTAGTCAATCTCACCATCACTAATTTTTTCCTTACTTAGGAGTAACGAGATGAAAGTAACAAGAAAGTATTCATTGCTAGTTTTAGGTCATACTGAATTTATGAAAGCGTCAGGATGGAGGGGGACGGTGAGGAGGACGGGGAGAAATGAACATTTTTTTTCAAAATCCATATGCTTCCAAATTAAGAACAATTATTTTACACATCAAATATGTCAAGAGATTATGCTCAGTAGAAATGCTGATTGATAAGAATGAATAATATTGTGAGTCATAAAGCTATTCAATCTGACAAACTAAACTGGCACACTGTACTGTACAATGGAAATAAAATTAACACATTTATGGATGGCAAAGAAAAGCTATATATATAACTTATCTGTAGGAATACAGAACTTCTTTAATTGAAAAACATTTGTGCTCTTTCTTTCATCTCTTACAGATGTGTATGCTCACTTGAAATTATATATTCTTGGATGATACTAGTTACTTGCTCACATAAAAAAAATGACATTCACCTCCAGCTTCACACCTTCATAATGGTCAGCATTGCCAGCTACAGTAATGCCTTCACAGCAACGGGATGCTTGAGTATGAACAGCTTCTAAGCTATGCCTACACTGCCCTCTCTTGCACAAGAAAATATGCAAATGAGGCAAAGCGGTGAATATCGCTGCACTTCATTTGCATACTTAATGAGCCACCATTTTGCACAAGGGGCTTTTGCGCAAAAAGGAACCATCTACACAGCTCCCTTTTGTGCAAAACCTCCCTCTTGCTCAAGAGCCGTTCTTCCTGAAAAAGAGTGGCAGAACGGCTCTTGCGCAAGAGAGGGTTTTGCACACAAAAAAACGGTGTAGATGACTCCTTTTTGCACTAAAGCCCCTTGTGCAAAAATGGTGGCTCATTAAGTATGCAAATGAGGCAAGGCAATATTCACCGCTTTGCCTCATTTGCATATTTTCTTGTGCAAGAGAGGGTAGTGTAGACATAGCCCTAGTGTTTCACCAGGGCTGTAGGTCTGATATTGGGGTGTAGGAAGTAGCATTCAGGTACCATGATGCCTTATAAGTAGAGATTTTTTAAAATCTGTATAGATATTTAATTTTTTCCACCTGATGTATTCTAACCAGCCGGTCTGTGAGATACCCATCATAAACTAATACAGTACCTTACCCTACAAACTTAAGTACTATTCGTTGTATCTCATATACCCATTTTTTTTTTGTAGGATAGATTATTCTTATTGACTGTGTTCAAAAGCTTCTGGAAGTCATTGTGTAATGAAGTGTACTTGTTTTATTTTCTTGGCTCTCTAGCTGGCTTCCCAGCACATCCATTGTCTGCTCTCAGCAGATTATGTTCATTTTGTACTCAATGGCCTCATGCCTTGCATTTTTATTTGGTGTGTAGCAAAACTGGAAAATTGAGATCTTTTTTTAAAAAAGGTTAGATTATAGCAAAAGTTCATTCTGGGTGATGGGGTTCATAGTGTCTATTTTATTGTTCACATCTGTATATCAGCTAATTTGATCTACACTGGAGTCCCATACAGCAGAAGTTGAACAGATGTAGGTTTCACTATCTATTTCTCTGAAAGCATCTGCCTGGAGGTCAATGTATGTCTCAGGGAGTGGGTAAGAAAGTGCACCTCTTCTACCTCCTCTCTCCTGCTGTGAGCCTAAATAAATCACTTATCTTCTCCCTGTTAAACAAAATAAGGGTTCCATTTAAAACCCCAAGTGTTCCCTTTAATATAACAATCAGTGTTAAAGATTTTTTTTCCGTTTTCTTTCATCTCACATGTGGAGAAAAATAATAATTTTTCCAGGTACTCCTATCATCTTCATCTGGCTTCCTGACCTATTAGCTTCTCTCTCCTTTTGGGCTGTTTTGACTCTCTTCCTCTAACTCTTACACATTCTGAAGTAATAGAATCATAGAATACTAGAACTGGAAGGGACCTCAAGAAATCATTAAGTCCAATCACCTGTCTTCACAGCAAGACCAAGCACCATCTAGATCATCCCTGACAGATGTTTGTCTAACCTGTTCTTAAATATCTTCAATGATGGCAATTCCACAACCTTCCTACACAATTTATTCCTGTGCTTAACCACCCTGACAGTTTTTTCTTAAGGACCAATCTAAACCTCCTTTGCTGCAATTTAAGCCCATTGTTTCTTGTCCTATCATCAGAAGTTAAGGAGAATATTTTCTCTCCCTTCTCCTTGTGACATCTTTTTAGGTACTTAAGTCCTCCTCAGTTTCTGCATATTTCTGCCATGCAAATAGAAGACACTGATCATATGCGCAGAGTAGGAAGCACAGCTAGGAACATGTCATGAATCCAAAATAGCAAAGGCAAAGCAATTACCTTTCTTTATGCCTAACTCTGAAACATAATGAGTAGCTGAGGATGCATAGCTCTTTGCCAGAGGCATTTCGCAGGATTGGGCCCCATCTTATTAAAAAAGTTTAATAAAACAAATCCTTAATAAAATCAAAGTCTTACATACCAGCTAGAACCATCTGAAGCTGTAGTCTAATTATTTTAGCTTTGCTGGGCTTAGAAACTTTATTTGTTTAAAATACTGCTTCTTTAGAGATAAGTTACAGCAGCCAATGAATTATGTCATATTTATTCCTTCTGAGTCCATGTATTGTATGTTGAGCTAAGTGGGCTTTGTGGTAGTGGTACAAAATTTGACTGTTAGCTTTGGACTTGTTTCTGGGACATCAAGACAAAAAACTGTTTTACTTTCAAAGAACTGTGTTCCTGACACACTAACCATGATCATATTCAGTGAAATAATGTATGATAGCACTTCATTACAGTGATTAAAAAGGAAACGTGATAACAGAAAAAAGCAAATTGGAGAAAGTTTAGTGATAAAAATATATTGACTTTGGAATTTAAAATTTCCCATCACCTTCACAACAATTTATATGTAAATCTCTTTCGGATAGTTTATGGCATCATAATCAGATTACAATGTAATTGTTTAAATTGTATTAACAGATTAACCATAATTATTTTAAGGCTGTAAAACAGTAGCAATTGTGTTGCCTCAGACTTGGTTTTTTTCAATAGTAATGTTTTAGGCAGGAGCAGGCAAATACCAGGCCTTTGGGCCAGATCCTGTGTGCCACTGCCACTGCTATATTTACCTTTGCCTTCACAGGTACGGGTGATTGCAACTCCTATTGGCTGTGGATTGCCATTTTCAGACATTGGGAACTGCGGGAAGTGGTGTCCTGGTTTGTGCTGCTTTCTGCAGCTACTATTGGCTGGGAACAGCAATCCGCAGCCAACAGCAACTGCAATTGCCAGCACCTGTGGAGGAGCAGGTAAATATAGTGGTGGTGGACCACCAAAGGCTAACCCTTGAAAACCACCATCATTTTATTGGCCACCCCGGTCTTAGGCAAACAGATCTGTTTCTGAAGATTGTGTGTTTTTTCTGCAAGAAAGTTGAAGCAGGAGGATTTAAATAAATGTGAACTAGCTATCATGCAGGTTTTGAAATGTTCAAGCATTTCCTTTGGTTGTTAACTGCCGTTTGTTATCTAACAGGGCCAGTCTCCTTCTCAGCTGAGTGTAGCAAGCATTTCCATCGACTCTATCACAACACAAGGGATTGTTCAACACCAGCTTGTAAGTAACAGATTACACAATTTTTAGCATTAACAGCAGTGTTAGCCTATTTATGAACATGCTTGTTTTGACTCCTGAGGGTATGTCTGTACTATGAAGACTATGCCAGCATATTTCTGTGATGTGGATGTAGCCGACACCAATGGACAGATTTGTTTTGTTGTTGTGGGACCCACCTGCCCAAATGAAGTTAGCTGTATTAATGGAAGGCCTCTTCCATGAACATAGTTGTTTACACTGGGGGTTATGTTGTCATATCTGCATCAGTTGAGATGTGTCTTTTTCCAAATCTCAAACTAACATAACTAGACTAATGTAGCTTTTCAGTGTAGATCAACACTAAATGTCTGCCGTTCTAGGAATAATCATAAACTTTACTTATGCAATTGGTTGTTATTCCAGTGTCATACCATGGGAAAAATACAGGGTCTGATTAGTTCATTATCTTCATCTTTTTCATGCTAATGTAATTCCATTAACTTCAATAGAGTTGCTCCTAAATAGGAATAGGGCTACTAGTGAGAGGAGACCAGGCTTCTGGAGATGGATACATTGTAGCAATAAAGTGCCACATTTTGAGAAGAGTTTGCTGTAATTATATCCACACCTTAAAGAATGAAAGCCAATGAACTACCAATTTTCATTAGGTTTTTCCAAATAATTCCAGTAAGAAGAGAATCATTGCTTACACTACCTGCCCAGTCCTACTGTCCTTACTGAGCTAAAATTCCCAATGGGAGTCTACAGGCATTTTTCCTGAATAAGAACTCAAGGCCAGATCTAAATCTGTCAGAGCTTTGTTTAAGTAAAAAATATAAATAATGTATTAAAAGAAAAAAATGGAACCTCTAAAAAGGAAATTGTTCTAGTACACCTGTACTAGGTGTACTAGAACAATTTCCTTTTTAGAGGTTCCATTTTGGGGGGGGCAATAAAATGGTGGTGGTTCACCAGGGCTAGCCCGTGGAAGACTGCTGCCATTATTTTTATCTGTGCCTCCACAGGTACAGGTGATTGCAGCTCCCATTGAATGTGGATCACCATTCCTGGCCGATGGGAGCTATGGGAAGCAGCGCAGACCAAGACACTATGTCCTGCAGCTCCCATTGGCCAGAAATGGTGATCCTTGGACAATAGGATCTGCAATCACCTGTACCTGTGGAGATGCAGGTAAATATAGTAGAGGGGGCCTAATACTGGCAGACGAGATCCAGCTTGTGGACTCGTATTTACGCACCCCTACACTAGTACAACTCAAAGGAAAAGAGAAACTGACTGGCAACGAATAGCACTGTTTATATACAACATGTAAATCTATTAGTCATGCAAAACCTCATACTTGCAGACTTAGGAAATCATCAACCATTAGTACTTCACAGAACCTCACTATCAGAGCAGCCAACTCTTAACTTTATTGAGTAATACAAGGTCTCCAACCCTTATGCTGAGTAGAATTAGGAATATAGAAATCCAGGTCTGATCTCATAAAGAATAAATAATTGTGTTAATTGTAATATAATTACTTCCTCTTTCCTGTCGTGTATAGAACTTGAGTGATATCCTTTTAATTAGTTTGTGACCTCATATTTTCTGTGAACAGGAATTTATATATGGCCTTGGGTGTTATATGTTTGTTAAATACAATTATTTGGATCCACAGAGCCATGTGATTCCTTCATGTTATATAGATTGCATCTTTGGTTCTCATACAATGTCCCCTATTGTTTAACACAATGGTGTATCATAGATGTGTGATGAACCACAAAGTTGTAATAAGCCAATGTTATCATTTTTCAACCAGCATAAATAATTTCTTGTATTTCCAACAAAAAATGTCATTGTACAGTTCACATAAGCCTAGTTCCCACTCAGAATATTAATGTTATTCACTCAAAAAACATGGTAATTTGATGATTCATTATTATTTTGAATGGTTTTACTTTATAGATTACAAAAGGTGTGCAAGATTACTAACAAGGTTGGCAATGAGCCCTTTGTGTACACAACCATAAAAAGTTTGCTGTGTAAGTATCCTTTTTCTTCACCTGCTCCTTATTTTTCTATGACATAGTAATTTTTTTCTCTATACCTTTCACTTGTTATCTATACAACAAACAAATGTGGTAGTGTTTATAACCCACTGCTTTGGTATTAATGTTCTCTATTGCAAATTAACATACAGACCTGTCCTGCATCTCTTATACATGCTTCGATGTAATATTCTTACATTACCTCATGGTTCCTTATGATGTTTTTGGCACAAAATAATTATAGCTGAGATGATCCACTTACATGGAAATATCTGAGAGAGAACCTGGAAAAGTTGAGGAGGGTGGGGAATCTGAAACTCACTCACAGTATTTCCTCCAGATTCTTCCTTTCATATGGCAGTTGCCCCTCCATGGAAAACAAAAGAGGAAGTCAGATTCCTAAATCCACATCTGGCACCCCTGGCATCTGTATGGATCCCAGGTGGGGGCAGAATCCCTTAGAACAGGGCTGGGCTATTAAATGACATATGTTTGCCAGGGTTAGTCTCTGGTGGCATGGGTAGTGGGTGAAGGTCAGGCTGGGGGAAGCAAAACCTCTGTCCTGCCCCCAGCCCTGCCCCTTCTGCCCAAGCCTCACCCCCCACAGGAGCCACGCCCCCATAGCACCATGTGGGATGGCACACAGCCCCAGCTGCTCTGGTCCTGGACCATGGGAAGGGTAGGCAGTGCATGGCCCCAGCCTGCTAGCCACCCCAGAGCATGGGGAGAGTGGAAGGCATGCGGCCATAGCTTCCCACCTTCACTAGAGCATGGGAAGGGTGAGTGCTCATGGCCAGGTATGTCTACAGTAGGCATTGTGGGAGCAGAGTATGGGTGGAGCTAGGCTGATGGCAGGGAAGACATTGCCTTCCCAAACCTATTATACCTCCTGCCCCTGCCTGGATGACTATCGTTGCTATATTTACCAGCAACTCCAGTTCCCATCATCCAGGAATGGCAATGTGAAGCCAACAGGAGCTGCAATTGCCCATACCTGCAGAGGCACAGGTAAATATAGCAGTAGTGGCATGACAGGGGCTAATCCTGGCAGATTTGATCAAGCTCATGGGACGGTATTTGCCCACCCCTCCCTTAGAGGCATAGTGAAATATGTTCTTCACCTTTGCACCAGATCCTGGGCTGTCTAAAACTCCAAAGCTTGCCCCAGGAGTCAGCATGAAAGAGGGTTTGAATTCATGGACATGGTGATGTTGGGGGAACACTGAAAACATGGTACAGCCTAAGGTTTTATTAACTCTTAGACAGCAATCTTTCTGAGAACCAATCCATTCCCATCTTTATAGCTAATTATGGAACACAGTGTTACAAATTGGAAGAAAACAACACAGATTTTTGAAATAATGTCACTCGAGTACCTAGAGTCTCAGAAGAATGTTAAAAATGTTCACATTTTCATGCTGATTGTTAAAAAAATACTCATTATATTCAATAAATATCAAACTCTGATATATATGTTTGTTTAAATATCGTCTACTGGTGTTCACTTCTTATTATACCCAAACAATGCTTGCAAAGCAGTTACCACAAGGTAGAATGATTTAAAAAACCATCTCCCTTTAAATATGCAGTGATAGCCTTAAGATTTAGAAAGCAAATGGAAAGGAAACAAGGAAAGAAGAGCTACCTTTGCTCATTCCTAAGTGAAGATGGGAAGATATAAGGGTTCAAGGGAGAAAAGCTTAGAAAAATATGGCAATATCTTAGTGTTGGAAGACACGAGAAGCTCTTACTTCTGTCCCTGTATTTTTTATTGTCCTTGTTTAAACCAGATCATTGCTAACTCAGGATGCTTTGCACCATTGCGACAGCACACCAGTGTTTCTAGTCATTGTCTCCTCGCTTTGACTAGAAAAAAGTATATTTTCTAAAATCTGTTTTCTTTGTATCTTTATTTTCATTTTCTTACTGTATGTCTCTATAATAATTATCTTCCACCTTACTTGATTCTATTTTTGTTATTTTCTGTTCTTTTCTGACTCTTACATTATATCTGACTGGTCTATTGACCCCTTCTTTCTCAATCTCTCTCTCACTCTCTGTCTCTTCTTCCTCTTCTCGAGCTCTTCTTTCCTCCTCTACATCTTTTTATTACCGCTCCCCTCACCCCAGCTCTCTGAAGGACTATCCAACTGATTGTTCCGTGTTCTCATTCTTCTCTTCTTATGCTCTTCCAAGTAGAAGAGATGAAGACGTTTGCTATAGTCTCAGTGCAGGCTTGTTCTCCAGAAGTTTATGACCTTCTGCTTTACTCTTGAAAACAGAGTAAGGAGATCCAAAATAGCTCCTGATTTATGACCCAGCTATCCTAATTGACTTGCCAAATGGACAGAAAGTGGATCCAAAGAGCTGATTTGGAAGTTGGAAGGAGAGGCAACGTGAACAGTTTCCTACTCCTTATGTCCTCTTTAATGAGCAGTTGGGCTCATTAAGTAAAGGTTAGAGGGAAAAAAAGTATAACAGGAAGATAAAATCAGAGGTCTGAGTCTTCCATGCCTTCCTCTCTTCTTCCAGGTTCTATTCTGCTGCAGGGGTGCTCTATGCTTCCCCTTTTCCAATCTCAGTATCTTATAGCAGCTGAGGCTTTTTTCTTGGAGGATAAAGGATAAGTTTGTCCTAACTTCCTCTGCTACCCAACATGCAGTGTAGAGTGTTTTGCTTGCTCCCTCACCAAGCCTCAGTGGGCAGGACTGATGCTTCCTTATCCCGTTAGTTGAGGATTTAATTGGTGTGATTTTTCCTCCCTCCTGCTGACTCTCATAAGATCACAGGCAATGCTTCCTGCAGCAGATGACAGGATCATTCTTGTCTCCTATGTAGGGCTTCCTCCTTATTATTATACCCGATAGAGCCCTTTGGGTTCTCTTCATGCAGAACCCAGAGGGCCCTAACCTAGCCTCAAATATTTAAGTACTTCCCCCTTCCTAATATTAAAAATAGGCCAATTTTATGATGTAAGTGACCATCATGATCATTTTAAGAAAACCAGCAGCTGCAATACAGAAGAGCATAAACTTATTCTCCCCTTCTTCCCCCCAGTTTATACGCCCCAGAAAAAAAGGGGTGGAATGGTATTTATACATTATGGTTCAAGCTCTCTTTTGAAAATCCCAACCTTTCCTTCTAAATGTGTATTACCCCAACCATTCCTGGAAGGGTTGTACAAAGGTTTCCTCTGCTTTCATTTCAGGACCATGGAGAAGTCTATTGATGTGATACAATGTGTGTATATTGCTTAGGTGAGCTGCTTGCTTGGTCACAAAATGACAATACAGGAAGGCATTTAGGGATATAGTTTATATGAAGAATGCTCATGTGGCTGCCATTACAATCTTTAGAGTTTTGTCTAATTTAAGTCACTGTGGTCTGTTGCAGAATAGGGAATACTGTACTTGGAAGTGGCAATAATAAAGATTTTAATGGCACCTACTGTATAGAAATGCATTTGTACTGTATGCATGAGAAACTTTCCTGAAAGTTATAGCATGCATTTAAACCGTGTATCGCCATTAGTCAGGATTTGCAGTTTCAAAACTCATTAGTGCTCACAGCAGGAGGGGAAGACCCACCAGCATCACAGAGTTAATCTAAAGGTTTCTTCAAATCTAGAGGTTACTTCAATTCACACAAAATTGTAATTTGTAAACCAATTTATATTAAGCCAATCACATCAGTGTTGTGCAGTTCTGAAGATAGGTGCATAATGGCATGTTTGTTCTTCTTGCAGACCTTTCTACTTTGAGAGAACTCTGATTTGCCAAGAAAGTGCCTTGAAATCTTCCTCAAGATAATAGAGAAGATATCTTTTATCTTTTTGATTTGCAGCATTGTTTTGTTACTAGATGCATTTTATTTTCATATGTTGGACATTCCATATTTGTGTGAAGGAAACATTATTTTATTTTAATTTGTAAATTTGTTGCCAATAGCTCAAATAAGCCAATTATTTAAATTTGTTGTATATAAAGAATAATAATATACAAATTAAATATTATCATATGCAGAGAGGTTGATTAGTTTTTGCTGTTGATTATCTTGTTCCAATGTATTTACACCATTTTGCTCAGGCTCTTACTTTCATTATTTGCACTAACTTGAAATGCAAGTCTATGTAACTGAAATCTGAATAAGCTGTAAGTGGGAAGTTCTACTTTCAATGGAAGATACTGTATATTATGAAGCTTTGTTAATATATATATATATATTATTGCGCATAAGAAAATAATGCCCAGAAATGCACCTTGCTTTCAGGAACATTTGTATAGCTATTCTGGATTATCATCAGTTACATTTGTACTGGCACTTATGGAAAGAGTTGCAAATAATGTAAATACTATAAACGACTGGAAGACTGCAATGCAGTTTTGGTGGAATAAAGAATATAAAAATAACCTGTTCTAATTTATTGTTATTGACTCATTTAATGGAGTTGGGACTTACATCTGAAATACTTTATCTCTGTAGTAACAGAACACTAATGTAATGCTGGAGAATATGAACTAGCATCCTGTTAAGATATCTAACCCTTGATTATACTTAGGATACGACCAATGTTCCCTCTAATCTTTTCCATCCATGAGCATGTTTTTTCCATCCATGTTCAGAATAAATATTTGATGTGCACTGAAGTATGTGCATGTTTGCACCACCAGTAGAAACAAAAACCCTAGCAGTGGGCACTCTGCTAATCAGCTGGGCAGCATATGAATCTCTCCCAAGTGGCCACACAAGTGCACAGCCTACAGGGAACACTGGATATAATTTTTACAACATTTGTTTCCTAAAAGCTAAATTTTACCCATGTGTTTAGTCTGCCATGGATTAAGGACATAAATATGAGTACAGAATGCATCTATGATGCACAATGAACAAGGCATAAGGCTAAAGACTGACACTGCCCATGATAGTAGAAATACTTTCACAAAAGTAATGCCAAAGATGAAAATGATTGTACTGCGAGGGGCATGCTTGGAAGGAACAAACCCAGCTAGCAGGCCACCAAGCTGCAGTAAGGACTATGCACTAGGCCAATTCAATATCCCATCCTGCACTGGAAAAGCAAGATTTATATTTCACACTGTGTACTGTATGGCATATATATGCTTCTGCTGCTGCTCTGAAGCCTCTTAGACATAAGATTTTGAAGAGTAAGACAAGTTCAAATATAAGAGTAAGACAAGTTTAGACCGGTCAGTTTAACGTCTGTCCCAGGGAAGATAATGGAGCAGGTAATTAAGGAAATCCTATGCAAACACTTGGAAGGTAATAAAGTGATAGGGAATAGCCAGCATGGGTTTGTGAAGAACAAGTCATGCCAAACTAATCTGATAGCTTTCTTTGATAAGATAACGAGCCTTGTGGATAAGGGAGAAGCGGTGGATGTCATATACCTAGACTTTAGTAAGGCATTTGATACGGTCTCGCATGATATTCTTATTGATAAACTAGGCAAATATAACTTAGATAGGGCCACAATAAGATGGGTGCATAATTGGCTGGATAACCGTAGTCAGAGAGTTGTTGTTAACGGTTCTAAATCCTGCTGGAAAGGGATAACAAGTGGAGTTCCTCAAGGGTCTGTTTTGGGACCCGTACTGTTCAATATCTTCATCAATGATGTAGATATTGGGATAGAGAGTACTCTTATTAAGTTTGCAGATGATACCAAACTGGGTGGGGTTGCAACTTCTTTGGAGGATAGGGACATAATTCAAAATGACCTTAGCAAGTTAGAGAAATGGTCGGAGGTAAACAGGATGAGGTTTAATAAGGAGAAATGCAGAGTGCTCCACTTAGGAAGGAACAATCAGTTCCATACATACAAGATGGGAAGCGACTGTCTAGGAAGGAGCATGGCGGAAAGGGATCTAGGGGTCATAGTGGACCACAAGTTGAATATGAGTCAACAGTGTGATGCTGTTGCCAAAAAAGCAAATATGATTCTAGGTTGTATTAACAGGTGTGTTGTAAGCAAAACTCGTGAAGTCATTCTGCCGCTCTACTCTGCGCTAGTTAGGCCTCAGCTGGAGTACTGTGTCCAGTTCTGGGCGCCACATTTCAAGAAAGATGTGGAGAAATTGGAAAGGGTACAGAGAAGAGCGACAAGAATGATTAAAGGTTTAGAGAACATGACCTATGAAGCCAGGCTTCATGAACTGGGCTTGTTTAGTTTGGAAAAAAGAAGATTAAGGGGGGACATGATAGTGGTTTTCAAATATCTAAAAGGGTGTCACAAGGAGGAAGGAGAAAATTTGTTCCTCTTGGTTTCTGAGGACAGGACATGGAGTAATGGGCTTAAAGTGCAGCAGGGGAGGTTTAGATTGGACATTAGGAAAAAATTCCTACCTGTCAGGGTGGTCAAATATTGGAATAAATTGCCAAGGGAGGTGGTGGAATCTCCCTCTCTGGAGATATTTAAGAACAGGTTAGATAGACATCTGTCAGGGATGGTGTAGACGGAGCTTGGTCCTGCCTTGAGGGCGGGGGGCTAGACTCGATGATCTCTCGAGGTCCCTTCCAGTCCTATGATTCTATGATAAGGAGGAAGGAGAAAATTTGTTCCTCTTGGTTTCTGAGGACAGGACATGGAGTAATGGGCTTAAAGTGCAGCAGGGGAGGTTTAGATTGGACATTAGGAAAAAATTCCTAACTGTCAGGGTGGTCAAATATTGGAATAAATTGCCAAGGGAGGTGGTGGAATCTCCCTCTCTGGAGATATTTAAGAACAGGTTAGATAGACATCTGTCAGGGATGGTGTAGGTGTAGCTTGGTCCTGCCTTGAGGGCAGGGGGCTGGACTCCATGACCTCTTGAGGTCCCTTCCCGTCCTATTATTCTATGATTCTAAGTTCAAAATATTTTTAAAAACTCTCTACTGCATTTTTCTTTAATGATTGAGCTGCTCTAGCAATTAATGTAACATTTTCTTTTTCTTTATACATTCATATTATTATTGCTTCCCAAACTTTCTCTCATGATATCCCACTTTTCTCAAAGCAAAGAAGAGCTCTGACCCTGACTTCATATATAATGGAGGCAATATTTATATTAAAGAAAAATTGAACCATTAAATTCTAGGCACTTTCTCCTGAGACATATCAGTGTCACATATGAGCTTGCTTCTTTGCACACACTTTCACTAGAGGCAGAAAGACTGCCCCAAACTGAAATTGGATGGTGATCTCCTAGTTTTCCTAGGAGAGGCGAGAGAGGAAAATTGGGTGTTCCCAGAGTTCTGAGGTCAGAGAATAGGGGAGTATCAGAGGCTTCTTGGAAATACTTTCCCCACTCCAGCCAGTTCCTGCAGAACTTCTGTCTATCCATTCTGTTCTGTTTTCCTCCATGCCATAGGCTGCCTCTTTCTTCTTTTCAATGGCTCCATATACCTGAAAGCAATGAGAGCAGAAGAAAAAAGACTGTCTCCCAGAAATGAGTTTTTGTATCAGAGCAGTGAATAGGAAGTGTCACTTGCAAAAGCCCAGGTCAATGCATACTATCTGAGGTCACTCCAGACAAGTATTTTCACAAAATTTGAAAGAAAATCTCAGGTATTAGTTTTTATTTTCAGGCTGAATAAGCCTGAGCTGGGCTATTTAGTATAATTCTTGGCTAATCAATTTTAATATCAGAGACGTAGCTGTGTTAGTCTGAATCTGCATACACAATGAGAACTCCTATGGCAGCTTAAAGACTAACAGATTTGTTGGCATATAAGCAAATGAATTGTAGCTCTTCAGTTTCTTTGTGGAGTCTGTTTTTGAAAGTTTTTTTTGTTGCAGGATGGCTACTTTTAAATCTGCTTCTGTGTGTCCAGGAATATTGAAGTGTTCTCCTACAGGTTTTTGTATGATACCATTCCTGATATCTGATTTGTGTCCATTTATTCTTTTACATAAGGACTGTCCAATTTGGCCAATGTATATGGCAGAGGGGTATTGCTGGAACAAGATGGCATATATTACATTGGTAGATGTACAAGTGAATGAGCCTGTGATGATGTGGCTGATGTGGTTAGGTCCTGTGATGGTGTCGCTGGTGTAGATATGTGGGCAGAGTTGGCACCGAGGTTTGTTGCAGCGATTGGTCCCTGAGTTAGAATTACTGTTGTGTGGTGTATAGTTGCTGGTGAGAATTTGTTTCAGGTTGGCGGCTGTCTGTAGGCAAGGACTCTCCTGCCTCCCAAGATCTGTGAAAGTGAGAGATCATTGTCCAAGATGGGTTGTAGATCACTGATGATGTGATGGAGAGGTTTTAGCTGGGGACTGTAGGTGATGGCCAGAGGTCTTTGTTATTTTCTTTGTTGGGCCTGTCTTGTAGCAGGAGGCTTCTGGGTACACGTCTGGCTCCGTCAGTCTGTTTCCTCACTTCCTTGGGTGGGTATTATAGTTTTAAGAATGCTTGGTGAAGATCTTGTAGGTGTTTGTCTCTGTGGCTGTGTCTAGACTACATGCCTCTGTCGGCAGAGGCATGTAGATTAGACACATAGGCAAAGGCAAATGAAGCCGCGATTTAAATGATCGCGGCTTCATTTACATTTACATGGCTGCCGCGCTGAGCTGACAAACAGCGCGCTAGTCTGAACGTTCCCCCTGTCGACATCAAAGCCCCGTTATTCCTCGGCTCAGCGTGGCAGCCATGTAAATGTAAATGAATCCGCGATCATTTAAATCGCGGCTTCATTTGCCTTTGCCTATGTGTCTAATCTACATGCCTCTGCCGACAGAGGCATGTAGTCTAGACACAGCCACAGAGACAAACACCTACAAGATCTTCACCAAGCATTCTTAAAACTATAATACCCACCCAAGGAAGTGAGGAAACAGACTGACGGAGCCAGACGTGTACCCAGAAGCCTCCTGCTACAAGACAGGCCCAACAAAGAAAATAACAAAGACCTCTGGCCATCACCTATAAATGTAAATGAAGCCGCGATCATTTAAATCGCGGCTTCATTTGACTTTGCCAAACAAACAAATCTACATGGCTCCGTCAACGGAGCCATGTAGTTTAGACGTACCCTGTCTGAGGGGCTGTCTGAGGGCCTGAGGTTATACCTTAGTGCTTGGCTGTAGACAATGGATCATATGGTGTGTCTGGGATGGAAGCTGGAGGCATGTAGGTAAGCATAGCTGTCGGTAGGTTTTCGGTATAGGATGGTATTTATGTGAACGTCACTTATTCGCACTGTAGTGTCCAGGAAACAGATCTCTTGTGTAGACTGCTCCAGACTGAGGTTGATGCTGGGGTGGAAACTGTTGAAATCACAGTGGAATTCTTCCAGCTCCTCCTTCCCATGAGTCCAGATGATGAAGATGTCATCAAGGTAGTGTAAGTAAAGAGGGGCGCTAGTGGATGAGAACTGAGGAAGCGTTGTTCCAGGTCAGCCATAAAAA